AAGCCCAGCTAGCAGGAAGGCTTGGCATCTGCCCCCAACCACGGCCTCGGGGCCCTGCCAGAAGTGCTTGGACCGAGTCCCTCAGCAGGGAGTCTCCCAGGCCTGGCCGGGCTCCCCATCGTGGGGAAGGGGAAGGACCCGGAGGACATAGGCTCAGAGGGGCTCAGGGCAGCTGCTGTGAATGTTGTGGCAGATTCCTGGGAGTCACAGTAGAGCCAGCAGGTGGGACTTCTGGGGAGTCTGAACTTTCCAATGGTCTGAGCTCCCAACAGTGGGCAAGTTGCAGCGAGATAGACCCCACTGCGCAGAGGTCCTCAGCAGGCCTAAGCTGTAGTCCCATCTGGACCTGCGCAGCAGGGACCAAGAACTTAGGAGTGTGTGATCCTGGGGCCGTGACCCTGGGTGGGCTGGAGCAAAGGTCCTTACACTATCACAACTATTGCACCTGGCGAATGGGGCTGAGGCTGTGGGGGGTGAGGAGGGTGGCATCCCACAGAAGTCCTTTCCCGAGTGCAGAGCATGGAAGGGCAGCTGCACGGCCTCCGAGCTTTTCCAAATGGCCAAGGAGGGGCAAGAGCAATCTCCAACTATGGTTGGTACCACCATGAGTCAGGGGACAGGAGCCAGCCTTTGATCCAGCTCTGACCCCACTATGCCCGCTGTCCTTTCTCAAAGGCCAGCCCCACCCACCTCTCTCTCCGGGCCTTTCCCCACTGACTTAGAACCTGCCTAAATCACTCCTGCCTTGAAGGACCCTGTCCAATGCGGCCTCCTCCCAGTGGCCCCAGTGCCTTACACAGGTGGACTCTCCCTCCAGCCTGCCTGCTGCCCCAGCACCTGTGTCCCCAGGTGGTGGCCACACAGCCTCAGCCCATAAATGCTCGTGCAAACAGCTCTCCCCACCAGGAAGGGCAGGAACCACACCCTCCTCACCTTACAACCCCTCAACACTCACAGGTGCTCAGGGGATGTCTGGGTGGGGTGGGACCAGCCAACTCCATGACTTTCCTGACTGAAGCCCTGGCTGCTTTGAAGGCCATGGAGGTCGCTGAGGTCCCGTCCAACTTGGACCTTCTGTGACCAGTATGTGGGTGATGCTGACTTTGCGGTCTTGGTGTCTGCATCCCTGACCTGCTCAGCCAGCCGGGCCTTTCCTGGCTGAAGGCCTTCCCCTTGCTGCCCCTCCCTCTCTGTGGTGCAGAGTGCCCACTGTGTGCCTATGGGGATGAGGGCAACTGGCCGTCTGCATCCCTGACCTGCTCAGCCAGCCGGGCCTTTCCTGGCTGAAGGCCTTCCCCTTGCTACCCCTCCCTCTCTGTGGTGCAGAGTGCCCACTGTGTGCCTATGGGGATGAGGGCAACTGGCCAGGGGCCGGACAGTAAGACGATGGCCAACAGGGTGGATTTGCAATGCTGCTGAGGGCAGGTGGACAGAAGAAAGTGGTGGGCGGGCAGAAAGAGCCAGGTCCCAGTTGGCACAGGTGCCATGAGAAGGCCTGGGTGCTGAGGGGCCTGGCCTCTAACCGTTGCCAGTAGGGAAAGTGGGGAACAGGGTTGGGAGACCTTATCCTTGGAGCTGAGTGGAGGCCATACCCCTGTGCTTCCTGCTGGGCCTCGAGAACCCCCAGGGCACAGGACCCACAGAAGGCTCAGGGTACACCTAAGCACTAGCCCTGTGACCATAACCAAAATGGGGAACAGAACCTAAAATACAAACATTTATTCTATTAAAAACCACTGTCCCTGCATCTCAAACTATGTCTATAACTTACAATCTAAATAAAAGCCAGTTAATATAAATAAGGAGAAGGAGGTCATTTCTGAAGAAATCAAATTCTAGAAAAGAAACAAAGAAAAAATAGGTAAGTTTCAAATAATTCTGATGTCTCCCCAAGTTAAACAAACTACCCAGGCCTTCCCTCTGGCATGCTGGGCTGTTACTTCTGAATAGCCTCGATTGTGGGGTGAGGGGTAGGTGTCCATGGGGCGGAGGGCACCCCAGACCCACCGAGGCATCACTGTTCTCACTGCACCCCCTGCCTGGGTCCGGCTGTTGTCCACTTGAAAGCCCCTGAGGCCCTCGAAGCCCCCAATACCTTCTCGTCTTCCAGACCCTGCTCAGCCACTCCCCTGGCCTGGCCAGGCTGCCCCCCCTTACCCTTCACACTGCTCCTCACCCCTCCCAGCCCAACCCAGCTGCACCCCTGCCTTTGTGGCAAGAGACACACAACAGCATTGACCGAGCAGGCTGCAGGGGAAGGGTCTGTTTCCAGTCCCTGCTCCACTGCCTGGGAGTCCCCACTCATCACCTTCCACCTCTGTCCCACTCTAAGAAGCCTCATGCTGCCACTCCACATGTCTAAGGAGGGTGTCAGCCCCATTTTCAGGTGAGGAAACGGGTTCTGCCTAATTAGGTACCTGGCACCCAAGGTCACTGCTGATGAGCTGACAGACCTCGATGAAAGTCCCAAGGGTCTAATCCACAGCCCCTCCCCCAACAGGACACCTCTTGCACTCCAGGTCATCCTGAGACAGAGACTGTGGGTCCAAGGCTCCCTATGCCATTCTCAGCAGAGCCCACTATTGCCCCAACAGGGGAGCAGGCACCCGTTCCAATAACTTCCAGCTCACCATGGATGGGGCCCTGGCACAAAAGTACCTCCTACATCAGAGCCTTGGCAGAGCCCGTCTGCCGCAGTGGTGGCTTCCAGCCTAGGGCTTGGGGAATCACAGGGTTAGATGTGGACATCTCCTGTGGGGGGCCCTGGGCTGAGAGGTAATCACACAGACATAGGGCAGGCCCTCCCCCCACTGTTTCTCAAGGGCCCCTCAAGAAAGGAAGTGTGTGGGGCAGCGGAGAGGGGCTGGCTGGGGAGTCATCCAGAGACCTGGTGGCCTGTCAGTGACTCAGGACAGCCGCACGCTGGTGAAGGCCTGCGTAGAGTCGACATTATGTAAGTTGCAGCTGAGTGGCATCAGCAGCTTTGCTTTCTCAAGGGCTGAGCATGCAGAAGCCCGGATAGCCAGCTCTGTGGGCTCCAGCCTGGGCCTGATGTGATGACTGAAGGGGCAGGAGGCTCCAGGTGGCATCCGAGAGTGACGTCAGGGAGTCTACATGTCACACGTGTCACACATGTGATGCCCAGCCCCATGGTGTGGGCAGCAGAAAGTGAATGCCAACTCTTTCTGAAGGTATCACAGGGGCTTAACGAAATTAGCTTCCTCAAAAATGCCCTATTGTGGCCCTGCTGACCACCTAGGGACAGACATTCTTGGGAAAAATGTGCTGGCCTCAAATCTCCCCAAATCTCTGAAAGTCAAGTAAAAGCCTCCGTTGAGGGAGGACAAAGCAGGGAATCAGGGTCAGCTCTGATGGGGCAGGACCACCTGGCCACCCCTGAGGACTGTTGGCCACCCCCGAGGACCCTTGGCCGCCCACATAACTCACCCTCAGGACAGGAGGGAAACGAGGGCATCCAGAAACTTGCTCCGATCCTCGGCTTTCAGCTCAATTACTGAAGTAATGAAAGAAAAACATCTTGTGAGAAGGGAGGAGTGGGAAAACAGGCCAGGCACAGAACTCCCTCTGCCCGACGATCTCAGACTGTAACAACCTTCTGCTGCATTCCAAACTGTACTAGGTTCTTCCAGGCCCTGAATATTCTGAACTAGGACTAGTTACATCTCTCCATCCCATAGTATTTAATTATCAGAACTGCTGGCTGCACAGTGGAGAGGCCGGAGCTGTGGCCTGTGAGGAACACCCTTTGGGCAGTTGGGCCAGTGGTGACAGCCAACAGAAGGACATGGGGGATGTGATGACTCAGAGCATTATAGATCTGAACAGGAATGAGCCTTCCTACCCTGTGCAACAGACCCCTACCTTCACAATAGATTGCGGAAGGCCCCAAGATGGGGCAGGAGGCCACCTTGGCCCCACTCTATCTAGTGCCTTGGGTTCAGCGTCCTCTTCCGTGGAAGGGGAACATGATGCAAACTGCCTGCATCTTGTAGGGCCTTGGAGCTCAGCCAAGCACATGGACCTTGTCAGACAGCAAAACCAGGCCCTGGGACGTGCCTGGCCTGGTCCTGCGAATTGTCCATGCTGCCAGCCACAGCCTCAGGAGCCCCAGGCCCGGGCGCATGCTGGCCACAGCTTGCTCCACACCCCCACCCCTAGGTCTCCATCCTCAGGGGAAACCAGGCATCGCCTGGCCCTGAATCCTCCCTATGTAAGGAAGGCAGGAGGTTGTGTAGGCTGGCGGGCACCAGCCTCCCCCACAATACAGGCACAAAACAGGAAGTGGGAGCTGCTCGGGGTGGCCACACAGCACCACGGCCATGATTGCATGGCACAAGGAAGCTGGCTCTGAGATAGCTGAGGCAACCTGAATAGAGACTGGGTCACCCATGACAGTGATTTGTGATTGTTAAGAAATCAGGTGGTGGTAATATAAGAAAAAGATCCTGAGAGATGCAGGTGAAGGAGGCTGTTACAGGCTGAACTGTGTCCCCCCAAATTCCTACACTGAAACGCCAACCCCCAGTACCTCAGTAAGTGACTATATTTGGAGACAAGGCCTTCAAAAAGGTGATTCATGTAAAATGAGGCTGTCGGGGTGGGTCCTAATCCAATATGACTAGTATCCTTCTAAGAGGAGATTAGGACACAGACACACATGGAGGGAAGATGATATGAGGACACTGAGTAAAGGGTCAAGGAGAGGTGAGGCCCTGGTGGCTGGTCCTCCACACTTTGTGGGAAGGATTTTAGGGCAGGACTGTAAGGCCGGAGTCAGGCCTCCAGCTCTCCGAGAAACACCTTTCCCCTCTCCTTTGGGCCCATTCTGACAGGAGACGCTGGGCTTGTGGGGTTCGGGGCCTCAAGCACCCCAAAGCTGCCTGAGCCACAGGGAGCAGCCTGGCCCAGGGCTGGTTCCAGGAGGATGAGAGGGCTGCTGGCCAGGCATCTCAGCATTGTCAGCTTGTTTGGTTCCAGGGCCAGCACTGACCTGAAAAGGTCAGGTGGGAGAAGTGCAGCCGAGCAGCAGAAAGCTCTTACCTGAGAGGTCAAAGTGGTTGTGCAGCGTCCGGGAGTTGGTGCTTTCTGCCGCCTTCGTTCCAGGGCCAGCACTGACCTGAAAAGGTCAGGTGGGAGAAGTGCAGCCGAGCAGCAGAAAACTCTTACCTGAGAGGTCAAAGTGGTTGTGCAGCGTCCGGGAGTTGGTGCTTTCTGCCGCCTTTTCAAATGCCCGCCCAAAAAAGCTGTGGACACACAACAGACACGTTGGGGGCCAGGCCACCTGCAATGGACCCTTCCCACCCCGTGACAGACACTGGAGGGCAAACATCACTCTACTCAGCAGGCCAATGGGCGAATGTGTCGACACCCCCACGGCCCTACCACTCGCCCCATTCCAGGACTAGCGGAAGCCGCTCACTTCTTTCTATCTGAGCTGTCAGTCTCGGGGGGAATGCCCACCACAGTCACTGTGCCCTGCTCCATGCTCAGGGGGGCAGCCATCACCAGGGGCAGCAGCTTGCAGCGCCGGTTCTTTGTCTGAGAAGACAAATGGCACCCTCAGGCATAGCCAAATCCACGTCCCCCACTGTCCTCATGCCACCATCCCAGCAACACCATGCCCCAACTGTTCCTCTCAGGAGCTTTGCCCTGCTGTTTCCTCCTCACCTCCTTCAGGTCCTGCAGCAGCTGTCACCTTCTCCAGGAGGTGCCCCCAACCAGCCCCCCACCTTGTACTGCTCCATCCGCTCTGGAATGTGCCCCCATCTAGAACTGCACATACTCACTTGTCCGCCCCCCTCCCCAGCACTTCTGCTCCCTCAGGATGGAGACAATTGGTGTTCCTGCGGCACCCACACCCTGCCACCAAGATGACCAATCGTCCCAGTTTGTCTAGGACTAAGGGGCCTCCTAGACGAGAATAGGGACAATTGGTCACTGTATGAAAACAGGGCCTGGTAGATGGTGGTTGCTCAATAAATGTCTGATGAATGAATAAATCCTGTGAATTGGGTATTTGTTCCCCCACTTTATAGATGAGGAAACTAAGGCTCAGCGGTCAGATGATCTACCTGGTAAATGAGGCTGAGATGTAAATACAGCCTATAGAACTTTGAGGCTCATGTTTCATCCCTAGTTCATCTTTTGACATTATTTGTATTCATAGAACACTCATATAATCATTTGATTGGTTAGCTCAGCAGCCTGAGAAAATTTCGACATCCTATTACACATTTCATTTAAAATAGCCCCCAGCATAAACCCTCATTCTGGAAACAGAGCAAGACTTTGATTACTGGAATGTGCTAGACCGTCCTTTCCATAGCCACACCCAGGAGGAGACTGCTGTCAGCTGGATAAGGACAGCTGAGCTGAGGGGTGCATTTTAGGCCAACACAGAGAAGAGTGTTAGACCACATGGAAGAAAATTAGCCTAAAATATAGGAGGAGACTGCTGTCAGCTGGATAAGGACAGCTGAGCTGAGGGGTGCATTTTAGGCCAACGCAGAGAAGAGTGTTAGACCACATGGAAGAAAATTAGCCTAAAATACAAACTTTTGCTGGGAAGCAAGTCTGTGCTACATCCAACCCCACCTCTTCCTGATCTGCCACAGCTGAACACAAGTTCCAGCCTGCTTTGCTCTGTGTGGGCTCCTCCCTACTCGTCCAAGTGACTTGGACAGTGAGTGATGAAATCAGAGCTTGAGGGAAGCAGAAGGTTCCTAGGGGTCAGCTGAGGAAACACAGCTCAGAAAAAGTAAGGGATGTGCCCAGACCCTGAAGATGGTGAACGGTCACAAATACCCCAAGGCTAGAATCTAATGCCCAGTGCAGAGTGTTCTCCAAGCATCTACCCTCCTGTACCACAGTACTTGTCCACCGAGCTCCTCACCGAACACACAAAGGACTTGAGCAGGTTCCTGCTGAGCAGGCTCAGGGATGCTGGCTTGGAGAACAATATGACATCTGGAGTGCCCTGGGGAGGGGGACACAGACAGTCAGATGAGGCCATTGGTAGGCGTGGCCCGTGGCCCAACACCTGTGCATCTGCAGGAGGCCTGACCTCCATGAGAGAGCAGTAAAGGAAAGGCCCCTGGGAGATGACGAGGTTGGTGCAGAGGCAGCTGGCGATGGTCTGCTGGGTGGCTTGCAGCTGCTTCTTGGCGAGTTCCAGGCCATGGTACAGCTTGTCCAGGTTACTCCTGTAACAGGGCAGACATGTGGCTTTGGATGTGCTCGTTGGGAACTCCAGGTAAGTCATCAAAGTTACCAAGAGATTGCTCAGCTTCTGGTTCAGGAAGGGGCTTGGGGATAAGAGTTTATCTTCTCTCCCTCCTCAGTTTCCTTTCACATGAAAGGAAGGAACAAAAAATGTATAAGCCCATGGCAATGGGAACAAGAAGTAGGAAGGGTGCTGGCATCAGAAGACAGGAGACTGAAAGCCAACAGAGAAGATCGCCACAGGAGGGCCCAGGAAGGTGCCTGTAGGGTTAACCTAGAGTAACCACACGACCTAGCAATTCTACTCCTAGGTATACAACCAAGAGAAATGAAAACATGACTCCCCAAACTTGTACATGTAGACTTACAGCAGCATTATTCATAACAGTCAAAAAGTGAAATCCACCCATATGCTCATCAACTGATAAATGGATAATAAAATGTGGCATTTATCCATCCAATGGAATATTACTCACAATGATAAGACATGAAGTCCTGATACATGCTACAACATGGATGAAACTTGCCAACGTTATGCTTTGTGAAAGAAACCTGTCACAAAGGAGCACATATTATGATTCCATTTGTATGAAATGCCCAGAATAGCAAATCCACAGAGACAGAAAGTAGATTAATGATTGCCAGAGGCTGAGAGGTGATGGCTAAGAGGTACGGAGTTTCTTTGTGGGACAATGAAAATGTTCTAAAATTACACAGTGGTGATTGTCACAGAACCTTGTGAATATACTAAAAGCCACTGCATTGGACACTTTACATGGGTGAATTGTATGGTATGTGAATTACATCTCCATAAAGCTGTGTAAAAAAAAGTGTGCAAAGGGGCAGAACCAGGAAATCCCAGAAAGCAGGCCTGCATACATTTTTGCCACTGCACAAAAGTAACAGAAGTAGCAGCTCGATGAAGCAGGAAAAGCTGTCTGAATCATGCCTCCTTCCAAAAAGTCAGGGAAACAAAATTCACAAGTAAACGAACAACGGCAAAGTACCAAGGTCAAATCTCCTCAAAGTCACTATTAGAAAAAAGAGAAAAAGAAGCAGAAAACCTTGCTCAACAATGAAGGCACACTACAAAGACATGCCAAAAAAAGATCAAAACTGTCATGTTCTATTTCAAAACAAACTCAAAGACATGAATAAAAAGCAATACAGGATGTCTCAGGAAGTGAGATAAGAAAGGACTTTATTTCCTTAGAAACAAAGGAAAAATAATTGAGAAATTAAGACTAAGCTAGAAGAGACACAAGAATAAATAAAAACAACAAATAATGACTTTAAAAATATAGAAGGTGAAAGAAGAAGAAAATTTTTTAAATCAAAAAGACAAAAGAAGAGATGAAAAGGATTCAAGAAAAAGTGACTAGTACTGAAGTTGGGAAGGCAATGTGTGAAGTCCACCTGTTCTGGTGGCTGTGCTTCCTATTCACACAAACAGTTTCTGCAGGACAGTCACTCCCATGCCTTGGGGGTCCATGCCTTGGGGTTCCATGCCACTGGCCACCCTGACCAGTATGAGGCTGAGGACCTGAGGTGTCCCCTGAGGGGAACCAAGGCCACACCCACTACCTGGAGAGACTATCCAGAGCCTGGATGAAGTGATCCGTCCCTGAGCTGTCCTTCTCGGGGTTCTCCATCAGAGACATGGTGGCGAAGACCACATCACTGGCCAGGAACTTATGCTTGAACCCAAAATGAATGCTGAAAGTCTGCACACGCATGTCCTTCATCCTGTCATGGGAGGAAGCAATGCGGCTGTCACCCTCAAGTTGTGGGTAAGCTCTTACCACCAGGCCAGGCCAGCAGATGTTCTAATGTCCCTCACAGGTCCCCACTAATGCTCCCAGCATGACCTTCTGCTCAGAGGATGAGGCGGGTCAGAATGCCCACATATAAGATACACCAGCCCTGCAGCCCAGAGCGGCCGAGTGCTCAGCTGTTCAGTGAGCCTGGGGCAGAGCCAGCCCATTGGGCCTGGGAGTCTATGAAGGATCCTCTCCCGTACCCCAGCTAGCTGTTATGCTGGGGCAGGAGCAGCCAGGCACAGGGCCTCCAGTGGTACCTGAGAACCTGGTCGGGCCAAGCTCTCCTGACTCTGGCCCTGGTGGCCCATTTCCTGTCTCCAGTGAGGACCTGTTTCCTATTTCCAGTGAGGAACAGGCTGGGTACAACTCACAGTTCCACACTGCAGCCCCAGGACTGAAGTATCCTAAATCTCATAGGCATATTAAGAAGCCCCCCCGCTTTAAAAAATTTTTTTTTAACCCAAAGAGGACTCAAAACTTCAGGAATGGCCAGACTCAGGTCGTACTCATTTGTACATTCTTGGCTTTTTTTTTGCATTATTTTAGGAATGTGGTTAAAGCAGAAGCCTTAACTTTTAAAGAAGCTTAGTCCAGAAAAATGTGTGTTTACCCAAATTTATTTGCAGACTCTTCAATCATTTCCTGCAAATTCTCCTTCAAGGCAATGTCCATGGACTGAAACTTCTGCTTCACCTGTTTCAGGGGAAGGCTGGAAAGAGCAAACCCAGGTCACACCAGTGAGATCGCAGAAACACCAACAGGAAGGAAAAAACCCTGCAACAGGGGCCACGGTGGGGAAAAATGAGGAAGGTGACAGCAAGTGCATTCCAGCGACATTCTGGGATCTAGAGGCAAGAAACTTATGGTGGAATAGGCAGCAGCTGCATATTAGAACCAAGTTGGTCACCAGAAAGTGGAGGGCTTTTCCCTCGGGGGTTGGCCGGGGCTAGGGGCTGCAGACCAAGGCAGTCACTCACCCCATGTCTGCGAGGAACTCCTGGAGCCGCTTCTGCCCTTGCACGGACCAGAGCTTGAACCTGGCCGCGGTGTAGCTGGTGTTACACAGGCTGTCATGGAGGGACCAGTGCTGGTACAGCACCAGGCGGAGGCTGGGCCTGAGGTCAAGGAGCACGCGTGGCACCCACCAGCCCACCCAGAACTGTGTTGCACAGCAACCTGCGATCTCAGCAGCGCATGGCTACCCCATGCAAGGGTAACCTGGAGCTCTTTGACCTTCTTAGCTTGATTTAACCCATATAGAGAGCTTATGAGGCAAAAGGTGCACACCATTATCCCCATTTGACAGAGAGAGAAAATGAGGTGCAGGGGTTCTGCAGACCCCATGTACCGTGGCCACAGAGAGCAGTCACGGCCACATAGGACACAAGAGGTTGAGGTTGCCAGCTCTGCAGTCATCATCTTCTGCCCCCTCTATCTCCATTTAGCCCAGCCTTCTCCACCACCTGTTCCTCCCAAGAACCCTCTGCAGGGATCCCATCCACAAAGCCCCCCATTCTCTCCCCTCTTCTTGAACTCACCCTTCACCACCCCTAGCACTGTGCACATGGCTGTGAGGGTGGATGGTTCCCCCACCACAGACCTCTCCTGCACAGGACATAGGCTGGCCCTGCCTGCTTCGTGCGGTTATGCTGGCACCCTGCCACCTTCAAACTGCAAGCATGGCTCTGATGCTCGGTGTGCTCTGTCCTCATTGCTGCCCCTCCTGAATCCTGGAACCCAGGACCGCCGCCCTCCCTAACTCAACTCTCAGAAGCTTCCTACACAACTCAGACAAGCAGCCCTGTGACCAACGAGCACACCAGCCACATGGGGATGTGGGCTGGGGCCTGCAGAGGGTGACTAAGCAAACAGCGCCCACTGAGCACAACAACGGAGGCAGGGGGTGCTGGCTGCATGCCGAGAGCCCCAGCCACAAGGATACTCATACTCAAAGGAGATCCGTGTGCAGTCCACAGAGAGGGTGTTCTCCTCATCCTCATTTCGGTGGTTGTGCCGGGACACATGGCGCTGCAGAATGCCAACGTCAGTCACATACTTCATTCTAGAAAGAAAGCACCGAAGGCTGGGCTACAGAGAGGGTGTTCTCCTCATCCTCATTTCGGTGGTTGTGCCGGGACACATGGCGCTGCAGGATGCCAACGTCAGTCACATACTTCATTCTAGAAAGAAAGCACCGAAGGCTGGGCTGGCTACCTCCTAGCCTCACACAGCAGGCTGGGCCCAGCTGGCTCAGGGCATCCCTTTGCACTCACGTGCAGTGGGCTGCCTACCACATGGACTATTCCTATACAAGGACTAAGGAGGGTTGGCCATCCCCTGCATAGAAACCAGGCAGCCGGGGGAACATGAGCGGCAGAGGTGGGAGAGGCGGGCTCTGGCCTCGCCCACCTCCCCTGTTCTTATTTGACACCTCCTGAGAGTGGGCAAAACCAGGCAGCCGGGGGAACATGAGCGGCAGAGGTGGGAGAGGCGGGCTCTGGCCTCGCCCTCCTCCCGTTCTTATTTGACACCTCCTGAGAGTGGGCGTTGTGGAGACCATGGCCCCACCTGCCAGCCCACACAGTCAAGTGGACAGAGCCCATAAGTG